TATAAACTAAAGTACAATCTACAAATTGAGCGTTTATATACTCGCTCAGTGGGCACCGAGTGGGCGTGGCAAAATCTAGCCAACCGAGTCAGAGCCCACTGAGCGTAACAGTTAGATTTCCGCCACTAGAGTAGTACTCGGTTGGCTAGATTTTGCCACGCCCACTCGGTGCCCACTGAGCGAGTATATAAACGCTCAATTTGTAGATTGTACTTTAGTTTATAATCATCTGCTGATGATGCTAACATGGTTAGCGAAACGCGCGTCCAGTGTAAAAGTAAAAGTGTTTTGGTGTATTGTGGTGATTTAGTGTTTTTATTTTGCTGTGTAACACCAAAGGTTCGAACCCTCATCTGTAATCTTATACTAACATATCAAATTTCGTTTGTTTTTTTTATCTGAGGTGAGGTTTATCGGGTGAGCCACTTTTGAGACGCACCCTGTATATAATAATAATTATTACTTCTTATTGGATTAGTTCTTCTCTGAGTTTTAAATAATGAATACTTTTTATCTAAAATTAATAATTTTTTGAAAATTACTTTGACGTATTATCATAATATTTTTATAATAACGTTATATTGAAAATAATCTAAAATATAAATACATAGCATTCTATACCACAGAATCTGTGATTTTACTCAAGAGAGGAAAATTCTGAGAAATATAACATACACTTTTATATTGGAAAAGTTCTTAGACCAGAAACACGACTAAGAGGTTTTTTTCGCGAAAAAAAAATTTTTAAAATTCGAAATCACAACAAAAAAAATTTGGATTTTTTTTTAGTTTTTAGTTAAAAAAAATAATTTCTTGATAATATGGCAACATAGGTATTAGATTAAATTTACAAGAAAGAAAATTCAGAAAAGATCCGGTGGTTCTCAAAATTTTAGCAAAGAATCATTTTTTTTGGAAATTTTCAAAGTAAAATAACTCCGTTATTTTGGACTTATTTGAAAAACGATAAAGAGAAAATATATTTCTTTTATCGAGATCTACCACATCTTAAAATATTTGCACTTATTTCTCGAACACCCTGTATTAGTTTGGAAGCTACTATTAAATTCTTTATACATATATTCTTTATATATACATATTTATAACATACACTTTTATATTGGAAAAGTTCTTAGACAAATTATACAGTATGACCCCTGATTTTCTTTACAAGAGGAAAAACTTTTTTATTATTGACATTTAGAGAAAGATGCATTCTTCATGAAAATTTTTGCTGTTCTAAAATGGTTAATCCCGTTAATATTTTTTCAAATTTCTATACCGTTTTAGAGAAAATTAAGAAAAATATGTCATATGGTTGAATTTTCCTAAAGTCCTCAAATTCAAAAGGCTATGGTTTCTATGGTTATATCATTTCGATTTCATTCTTTGATAGACGATTATTATTCAAGTTGATTAACGTCATACTTTTTGCTGATGTTAAAGTATCATCTTTTCCTATAACTATCATAACCCGTACCGTAGTATTGAACTAAATAAATTTTGTACTTCTTTAAAAACAGTAAAAAATATTGCGTTTTTTCCATAGCAACTGTTAAAATTGCCTTATATATCTATCAAAAATAGTAGATAAAATAGTACTTTAACCGCAAGGGGTAGATTAAATGATACTTTAACAGCGAGGATAGGTTAAACTTTATTTCTTCTCGCACGTTTTTTAATTGCTTCCATTTTTGAAAATTTTTGTATTCCTTTTCATAAGTTATTCGGGATTTAAATGGAAGATGGAAGTAGTTTGGATATGGCGTTTGTCGCCTCAGCCTATATATCTGTTGGTAATTTACTTATTTCGTTTTGAGCCATTTCTGGCTCCAATTCAATCAGCAATCGACACGAAAGAGAATTAAAAAATATTGACTCAAAACTGACAACTAAAGAGACAGCTTTATTCATTTGTCAAATTACATAGAAACCAACGCCAACCCAGCACAATATTTTTTCTACTCGTAATAAATTCCTTGAAATAATAATTTCTAAATATTTTTTAAAACGTAACTCGCTATGGAAAGAAATGTTGTTTTATACACGACGATAAAATTGCATTATCGTTTCCCGAAATTAATTCACTTAATCTTTTCGGCCGACGATAAAATACCATTTTATCGTCTTGTATAAAAAATTCCTATAATTTAAATTATATGAATAAAACAATCTATCAAAGAGAATCCAAGCGAATTTATCTTACCATAGAAACGTCTTTTGAATTTTAGGACTATAATTATTCAACTATATTTTCATGTTTTTTTTTTAATTTTCTCTAAAACGGTATAAAAAGTTGGAAAAATATAAACAGGATTAACCATTTTAGAATAAGCAATTTTTTTTACAAAAAATCCATTTTCCTCAAAATGTCAATAATAAAAAAGTTTTTCCTCTTTCCAGAAGAGACGTTTATATTAAAATATAAATAAATCTTATTGTTTGATACTAAAAGAAAGGCTGATGTAACAGCATGAACTAGAGCATGTCTTTAACATGCGTAGGCTGTGATGATCAATAAAGAAATAAAAATTTAAATGGCGAGGTCGTATAGTACATCATATGCAGCGATCTGTGCCAATAATCCATATGTGTCATTAAAGTATTATAAACAAAACAGTCATAATAAAGTAATTAACAATGAGATATTTTTGATTGGTTTGGTCATATAACACAAGGGTATTTGGTGAAATATCATAAACAATACAAGAGGGACAAAGCAGTAAAAATAATTTAAATTATTTGTCGATACTTATCATATTTAAGTCATTTATCCATGAGTTTGTTATGAGTCTATGAGTTTGTTCAACCGATTTGGGATACCCCTCATATCTCTGTTATTTTGAAAGGTATCGAGAAGGTGAAAACTGTTTATTGTAAAAGTTTTTTCGTAGAATACAGTTTTTGAAGATATGAACTAAAGTTATGTTTTCCTTAAATGGAATACCTTGTATATTTATAAATTATACGACCTGACTTGCTCCATAAGCTATTCAAAAATATACAGGGTGGTCCGAACTGTATTCCGGAAACTTCGGCAGTATATTATGCAGATAAAAATAAGTAAAAATGTTCGTATAAATGTATGTCCTAAAATGCTGAGTTTAGGAGATCCAGGTTGTAAGAGTTTCATTTTTATTTCGATTTTTTTCAAATAATTTATGAAATAACTTCAATATTTGGATGAAAATTGGTGTCTGGATAAATTGGTGTTTGCATATAAAACTACGGAGTGAAAAAATATACATTTTCCAGAATTTTTACGTAAAAAATGTTTTTTGATAAAAATCGCTACGATTAACCATTCTCAAGATATTTACAATGGAAATAGTCAATACACGTCATTATTGACAAATAATAGACATGTTGAGTAGATAGTTATTTGACTAAAATGATAAATTTTTATTTTTTTTTAATTAATCATAAATTTTTCTTGAAAAAAATGATGATAAAACAGTTTCTGTTGAATTTTTGGCATAAAATCTATAAAAAATATTAAATAGATAAAATATTAAAACGTCGTAAATGTATATTTTTTACACAGAAGTTTTATACAGGTACGGACGAAAAGTTATTACTCTACAAACTAGTTAAAAAATCTGTAGATGCACTGATCGGTCTTAAAAAAAAAATTTAGTGGGAAGAGAATTTATTTTAGCGTAAAAGAAAATATTTTGCCTGAAGAAAAACTCTCTTAACTCAAGAAAACTGGTTCTCTTGAAAAATTCGAAAATTTCTCTTGAATCTATTTTCATTCAACCAAGTCAAGTTACTTTGTTTTAAGATAATAAGAAAAATACGCTAGGAAGTACTTCATTCAAGAAACATGGCCATTTTTCCAATAGCTAAATACTCTTTTGATGAAAAATTATAACGACACCCTTACGACACGCAAAGACGATGACGAAGGACGGTATATACAATCAGTCGGCAGTCCGATCAGTCGTACGTCGCATTTCATAGATCGCACATCATAGTACGCACGGGTTTTGTTGCTTGGAATTTTCCACTTGGAATTTTGCATAATTTGCTTTTTAAACGCATATCGTATAACAAATTAGTGATCGTTATTAACATGCATTTGTCATTTTTTATGAACAAATTTTAGGATATATGGATTTTTTAAAGGAGTTTCTGGAAAAATGGAAATTAGAGCATTTATTTGCTATATTTGAAGGTAAGAGACATTTACCTAATGCACCTGTTTAGATAATGCATGCGTGACTATAGATAGAATAAGAATATAGGTATCGATTTTTTTATGCTAATAATTACAAAAATTTTAGAATTTCAAGTTCGTCGTATTAAAAAATTCAAAATGTGACCAAAACTTATAATTTTAATCATTTATTTGCTTTACTTTGATTAATCGTAATGTAACATTTTTTTGTAATTTGTAGAGTGATGAACCACCCCAAAAAATACCAAGGAGTGAAGAAGCAGAAATAACTACTATCGAGAAAAATAATATCACTTTACTTACTACAGGAAAACCTAAATTTATCGGAAAATGATATACCTCGTAATATGCCTGTATATGATGTATAGACTTTTCTTAGATCAAAATAAATTTTAGTTGAGTCAATAGTATTCGCTATTGGTTTAAGAAAAGTGTCTTTTTAATCAAGAAATGTCCCTTTTCAATCAAGAATTTTTGCATGAATCAAAGAGTGAAATACTTTGGACAGATAGATTCTTCTATTCCCTAAAGTAATTTTTTAATACCCTGTATCTCAAAAACCAAGCATTTTAAGACATGCATTTATCGGAACTTTTTTACTTATTTTTATCTGCAGAATATGCTGCCGAAATGCAATTCGGACCACGCCGTATAAAGAAATATTTAAGATCATTTAATATTTTTTTAGCCTAAAGTACTTTAGTAAATTCCTTAGGCTATAGTTTATTCAAAGACCTTTCAACGTTATAAGTAATCTTAATCTTAATTAACTTTATACTATAAAAAAAGTGTTCTATACAAAAAAGGTGCTCTTTCTTACCTTCATCAACATGAGTTCCATGTTTGAGGTGATGCAAATGAGCGTAGTAATGGTGGTGATGCAGCACGCACTCCAAATCAGTGCAATTCAACATCTTGGTACCCCAAAAACCGTCTTAAACGAAACAATCACAAAACCGCAGAAGTTATATATTTTAAAACCCCTTCTAGTTAAGAACTTTTAATGTATTCTTCCACTGACGAACGTTTTATCACAACTAAATTGTATGGCACACGAACTTATTTACTTTAAATTGATTTTTTCACACGCGTTCAGTAATTTTGATGTTTAGCAAGTAAATTCGACTTTTTTCGAAGAAACACACTAAAAGCCACTGATTATCACTAATTACATCACTTTTAACGTCTACTCATCAGACTTTTCGACGTTTCATGGTGTTTTTAACCGGCGTGCTCTTGATTATTAACTCTGGAAGCTCAAATTTGGAATCTGGTTTTGAACAGAAACCACCCAGTGGTTTTTCGTAGATTGGTCCAGGTTTGTATTAGTCCCAAACGTATCTGAAAACAAGTAAATATAATTAGTTCTGAGATTGTTATGTTTATTTATTTAGGGGCGTCAATTAAATACGTGGGAAAATCAAGGGGGAGGGGTTCAAGCAGCATATCACGAAACTAAATCACATGTGGGGGTAAAAATGTGAGAAAAAAATGTTATAAACGTTTTTATTTTTTTGCACTTTCACTGCATACGCGCCTTAACAATTACTTTGATACTGGGCGTTTTATTTAAGAGTCTATTACGTTGTACTTTCGGGGCACTCTCAGGGGTCGGGTAAAACGGGTAAAGCCGAAGGAAATATACAGGGTGGCGCACCTCATTCACCTCGGTTGATTATACGAAAACGGAAAGATGTAAAAACAATTTTTTTGTGTATATATGTAGAGACTCAATGTGCATAATTTAAAATTATTTTCAAATGTACAGGGTGTGTCAGAACTAAGATCCATAACAAAGTTATATTTTTTCTTATGGAACACACCCCCGGTTTTTTTTTTATTTTTGGATTCTTGGGCATAAAATAAAGCATTTATTATAAGGTTTAATATGTTTAAATGCTTTGGTTTTTGAGATATTTAAAGATATTTAAATATGCATGCTGTAATAAAAAGTTTGTCAACACCCTGTACATTACTTTTCAGAGTTAATTCTTGTGCTGATTTTGAAGCCAGAGAAATAAACTTTAGTAAAAATTTTTATTGCTTCCTTAAATGTATACAGGGGTATCAAAAAATGCTGGTCTATTTTAAATATTTATTTTACATAAAAACTACGTTATTTCAAATACAACATTATGTATCTTTTAAAATAAGTCGAAGCAGATTTAAATGCTCTTTCAAACTTTATTAGGGTTTTCTATACCTATATAGCTCAGATTTGGAATAAAAAGCGATTTTTCAATAAAATGGCAATCAAGATGGCTGGTGTCGCCATGGCAATTTGCTAGTGACAGTTAATAGGTATTTTTAAGTTCGACATTAGTTTATGGACCTTATTTAAATTTATAACAGTTTACTTTTATTTAATTTACCTACAATAGTTCAATAAGTATGTATTTATTATTTTACCAAAAAAAATAAAGAAGTAGTTCTTTGATTTCTATTACGCTGACTTGTAGATATATTGGATTTTCTATAAAAGAGCCAATTAAAGCAAATTCATTTTCTTCACTTCCAACGACAGGTTTCTGCCTGATAGGTTTTTCATATACCACACTATCAGCTCTACGAAATAGGAAAAGTAATTTTTCAAAGGATGCTTGTCAAAAAAAATTGTCCTCACAAAATAAAATCACTAGTAACATATCCATTCTTTCCGCCAGCAGATACTGTTTCATTTTTCTTGATAAAATAATAAATACTTACTTATTAGCCAATATTGTAGGCAAATTAAATAAAAATAACCAGTTATAAATTTAAATAAAGTCCATAACTAATGTCGATTTTGAAAATAGCTACTAAGTGTCACTAGAAAATTACCATGGCGACACCAGCCATCTTGATTACAATTTTATTAAAAAATCGCTTTTTATTCAAAATCTGAGCCAGATAAGTATAGGAAACCCTAATATAGTTTGAAAGAGCATTTAAATCTGCTTCGACTTATTTAAAAAAATACATAGTGTTGCATTTGAAATAACAAAGTTTTAAGTGAAATAAATATTTAAAATAGACCAGTAACTTTTGATACCCCTGTATACATTTAACGAAGCAATCAAATTTTTTAGTAAAGTCTATTTCTCTGGCTTGAAAGTCAGCACAAGAATTAATTCCGAAAAGTAATGTACGAGGTGTTCACAAACTTTTTTATTATATCATGCATTTTTAAATATCTTTAAATATCTCGAAAACCAAAGCTTTTAAACATATTAAACCTTACAAAATAAAATGAAGAGATGGACTCTTAAGTATAAAGTATAATTGAAATAATTAATTTATTTCACTAATTTCGAAATTCTCGATTACACATAAAAGTATAACATTGCATGGGCAACTTAAGTTTGCTTTATCGTACAGTTTCCAGTTTTTTAGTTTTCATTCTCATCTCATAATTGACTACAATCCTATTTTATCACTATCTTAAAATGCCTCTATCTTTACTTGTTTCTCTGAATATACAACTACTTACAAGTCAAACCCACTTAGCCATATAAAGCTAGACATAAGGTGTAATTATTAATCTAATCTATCAATCGGATCAAGCATTTTTAACTATCAGTATTCAGCTCATTCTACATGTCAGTAATTCAAATAAGGCTTAGGAGATAATGTGAAAGATAACCTCAATAGACTCTGTAGCTATTCAACTCAATGAAGAAATAAAGAATATACACTGCAAAAAAATATGCAGTATGTCCCCGGATTGTTTTTACAAAACTTTTTTTTATTATTTGTGTCAGGACTGAATTCGAGTGAAAGTATTGTGAATCTTTGAAAGAGACGTCAAAAATAATAATCATTTGTGCAGCATGCGATCGTTCCCAGGAAAAAAACTTCAAAAATAATGCAAAAACTTTTGGCTAGTAAGTACATCATTATTATATGTTATGAGTAGTAGGTAAATCAACAATTATGAAATTCATTTTAAATAAACTAATTATGATTTTATTCTTACATTTTTGCATTTATTTCCTACTGGTCAAATATAATTAAGATGCATCAGTTTGACTTGTTTTTGACGAAATAAAACGGCGTCAGAGTTCGCTCAGAAATGAAGTTCGCTGTCATTTTATATATAAATTTGAATGGGGAATGCCATCGATAGTGATTTCCTAGCCAACTTGACACCGTTTTATTTTCGACCACACACACAGTATTAATACACATGGACTGTAGTAGTTAAATTTTGAAACAAAACATGTATGTGTCTTTCTTGTCTTATTTACATAATTTTAACTTTTTGAAACGAGATCCAAACATTACATTACGTAATTAAATATTTGAGTCTCACTGTATATTGTTTCTGTTACATAAGACAGGCAATTAAATTAAAATATTTATATTTTGTGCTAGCGATCATAAATTTTACCTTAAACGGGAAATTGTGGAGAAAGAAATGAGAATAATGCATTTATTGCCAACATATGCCATGTTTGTAAATTAAGATTAATGAAGTTATAGGTATATATACTTAAATAAATAATCAACTTTTACTGTATATATTTATTTTAATATGTATAATGTAATATTACATTATAAACAGGAACAAACATATTTTTTTTTACTTTCCAAATACAAAAAATGTTGATATAAAATTAAATAAATAAAACAAAGCTGGAATATAAATTATCAATGCCTGTCATCATTGACATAAATTAAATATGTTGACAAAATGTTACTAGACTGAGAGCATAAATTTGCAATGTTTTTGTGCCAAAAGTTCAACAGAAACTGTTTTATCATAATTTTTTCAAAGAAAAATTTATAATTAATTTAAAAAAATAAAAAATTCCGAAATTTATCATTTTAGTCAAATAACTATCTACTCAAGATGTTTATTTTTTGTCAATAATGACATTTATTGACTCTTACCATTCTAAATATCTTGAGAACGGTTGCTCGTAGCGATTTTTACCAAGAGACATTTTTTACGTAAAAAGTCACGGAAATGAATATTTTTTCACTGAGCTATTTAAGCCATTATTCTTCAAAACAGTTAATACACATGTAGGCAGCGCCCCCTACAGATAGGAGTCATATTGACATCAAAATCAAATTGCTCTTGTCAAAAAACTCCCAGACACCAATTTCCATCAAAATATTGACGTTACTTCAGAAATTCGAAAATATCGAAATAAAAATTAAATTTCTACACCCTGTATCTCCGAAACTAAGCATTTTAGGACATACATTTATACGAAGTTTTTTACGTATTTTTATCTGCAAAATATGCTGACGAAATTTCCGGAATACAGTTCGAATCACCCTGTATAGACGTTGCTATTACCTACTACCCTTGTTTATATATTCTACTACTTAGTGTAATATACAGGGTGAGTCTTACATAAGTGCAAATATTTTGAGGGGTAGTATATTTCGACCCCAGAAACACGTCTATGAGGTTTTTCTCAAAAAAAAATTGAAAATTTGAAATTTTTTGAAAAAAAAAATTGGATTTTAATTTTCAATTTTAATTAAAAAATATTTTTGAAATTTTGAAAAAAAAAGTTTTGAAAAAAAAAAAAGTTTTGAAATTTGCAAAGTAAAATATCTCCGTTATTTTGGACTTATTTGAAAAACGGTAAAGAGAAAATGTTTCACTTATCGAGATCTGCCATCCCTGAAAATATTTGCACTTATTTAAGAATCACCCTATATAGACTTTGGTAATAGCTGATTCGAAGCTACTAGCGAAATTGAAAAAAAAACATTTTTTCCTAGATACCTTTCGGAAGTAAAGTTTGTCCAACATTTCGACAGATGACACCGAAAAGGTGATAGAAAATACAATTCATCTATGAATTAAAATGACAGACATAACTACCACTGTCATTGATCATCCCTAAAATCCCATTTTTTTTAAATTTCGATTTATGACGTAGGATTCAGCAACAGACACTTTTACTCTAATATAAACAAAATCCTTTTGTATATCTTCTAACTTACGAAGTCCCTGTACATTCTTACATGGAACACTGTGTAGATACATTTAATTCCTGTTAATCAAGTACCGCCAAAAGAACAACCTGCCAACCGGCCTGGGAAAAACACCAAAAACAAATAAAAACCGAATTAATCGAAAATCGAAACAAGTTGCTGTTTCTTCACCTTGGCCCCAGTAAATACCTGCTCTGCTGCAAATGGTACTGCTTACCATTGGTGCATGGTACGACTGCAGAGAAAGAATTTTCTCTGTGTTGTCGATATTTCGTAACAGCGGCTACTTAGTTAATTGGAATAGGTTGGCAAACCAGTGTCAGTTGCATGTTTTGTTTTTGTTCGTACCGGGTCGTTGCCAGTACTATATGTCGCACTTATTAAGAGGTACTAGGTACTAATTA